TTAGATATATATACAAGATACAAATCCTATTTTAGGAAGGAAACTAATAATATCAAATCCCTATAATACAGGAAATAAATATATATATATATATATTTATTTCCTAATCTAAATATATTCTGTAACTTCCAGGTACATATCTCTTTTTAATATAATTGTGGTGAGGTGGGCAAACTTATAATTCTTGTGAAGAAAATATAATACCCGCAGTCGATGCCACGACGGCTTCGGTGAAGAAACCCCCCCAAAAAAATCTGTAATAATTGAAGGAAAGCCCCAAAAAATTTGTAAAAATGGGAAAAGCGAAAGATAAGAATGGAAGTGTGAAGCTGTTTGATGATGACAAGGGTTGGATGATGATGTTTCGAAGATTGAGATTAATCAAGAATATGCCCGTAGATACGAGCACAATAAGAAGAGGGAAGACTTGCATAGATTATCTCTCAGTTACCGCAATACGTTAAACAAAATGAACAGGAAAAAGAAACAATTGATTCAATTTGACGAAGACCGGACGAGAGGAGCAAAAAGCTCATCTTGCCTTGAGAATACCTAATCAAGAGAACAAGAAAAAATTCTAAGGAAAAGACTCTGATACCATGTCAAATATACTCAATAAAAGACTCGATGCCCTTCTGTGTGAGAGGTTCTCTCATTATATAGAAACCAAAATAACTAAATATGGTAGCAATCAATATTATATAGAAACCAAAATAACTAAATATTGTAGTAATCAATTGTAATATTAATTAATGGTAAAAACAATCTATCTATAATAGTCGTAATCTTTGTCGATCTCCGGAATCTTATTCAATCTCATTGACAGTGTGCAAATCTTACACTTTCTATTTGGTCAATATTAGGTGAGGTTGTGGGTGCATGTTCGTTTTCAGTTGGGCATGGTGCAAATATGTTGAAAAAAGTCGCTTCAGTAAAAATGCTGCATCAAGCATCTGATATTCAAAATGTTACGTCCTACCCACTGGAAAGAAGGGTACGTATAATTAGTTTTCTATTTTTCACTTTTGCTTCACCTTTAAACTTCTTGTTTTGTGGGAGACCGTGTTTCTGTGTTCTTATCATTACGTTTTTCAGGGACAGCACAATGATGACATGCATTCGCTTGGATGCCTTTTCGTTTCTACTTCTTACATTGAAAGGAGTACGGCCACTGACCTTCAGAATGACAGGGGAAATGGAAATTATGTTGATGAGGATATTGGGTTTTGGGTTGCACTTGGTCCTAAAGGTGCCTGGGATGGTTTTCGTTCTTTACTTCCCCTGTCAGTAATTACCAAACAATTGAAAGATGAATTTTTGGCTTTAGAAGTTTTCATGAAAAATGGCAAGAGGCATGCAGTTTTCAGGGGTCTTGCTAAAGTTTCAAATGATTCAGATATCAAGTTTGATATTGCAACATGTCATGCGTCCATGATTCATGGTCTGAATCTCTCTTCCAGAACAAGCAGTCTAATCGACACTAATTATTTCAACAGTACCATATGCCCTGGTTCTTCTACTGTTTTACCCTGGAGAAGCATGTCCAAGGAGTCCAACCAATGTTTACAAATTCGTCCATCCATTGATCATACTCAAACATTATATGCATGGGGCCGTCCAGTTGCTGTGGAGAAGGACCAGCAATCGATTGATCAAGGTGCACTTTCTCGACAAAACACTTTAAAACAGGGGAACAAGACCTCTATTTCTACCTCTGTTTCTCTACTAATGTTGAATCAATTGGAGAAAAAGGATCTACTTTGGTGTTGCCCTAGTTCTGGAGGTAAACTATTTTGGCTCAGCATTTGCACAGACGCATCAGTTCTTCACACAGAGCTAAATTCCCCTGTTTATGATTGGAAAGTATCAGTCAGTTCTCCTTTGAAGCTGGAGAACAGGCTTCCATGTCCAGTAGAATTTAAGATTTGGGAAAGACTGAGAGATGGCAGAAATGTAGAACGACAGAAGGGTTTTATATCGTCACGTGGAACTGTACACATATACTCTGCTGACATACGGAATCCTATATATATCATGTTATTCGTTCAGGATGGTTGGGTAATTGAAAAGGTAAATCTTAGACACGTTATGGGTTTGTGTATGGTTATCTTCATATTTATTCATATGTCGAAGTGGGACCTATTGCTATTTTTGGGCTTTCCATTTAATGATCTCATCCTTTTCTCATCTCGGTAAAACAGGACCCTATTCTTATTTTGGATCTAGCATCAAATGGTCACGCTTCCTCGTTTTGGATTGTTCATCAGCAAAGAAAAAGGTCTGCAGTTCAGTTCAAACTATTTGTCAATTATGTTTGATTATCATTCTTTTGTGTACTTGCTCACTATCTATATTCTTCCCTTGAATATGTGGTTTATGTGGCCCGAATTTATAACATATCTGAAGTGAAGAATGAGGGAGCATATAAGAGGTTTTGTTTTTTCGGTTTCTTTCTGTTTCATCAAATCTGTTGTGAAGTATGCTTTACATTGAGAGGGCGTTTCATCTTTTGTATGCATTGTGTCTGTGTAGAACTTCAACGTTACAATGTGATTTTCAGATCCCTGAAGGTTGGCCCATATATTATGAGTGACAAGTTTGAAAGAGATAGACAAATGGGTCTGCATTCCTCACTGTTCCTTACGATTTCTTTCTTCATTTATTTATTTTTTCATAATAGAAAGAGAACATATACATGGTTTAAGAGTGAGAACGATCATTGTGACAGTTCTATTTATGATATTATTCTGATTCAAAACATTTTGTATCGTATCTGGATATTAGTGGCTTGTTTGATTTGGATGCTTACATAATTGTTGAATCAAGAATTCAGTTAATTCTGGCTTTATTTTCTTTATGACGCATTCTCCACAGGAGACTGCGGGTCAGCATTGAGCGTGACATGGGAGGAACTGCAGCTGCTCCAAAAACCATAAGATTTTTTGTTCCTTACTGGATCAACAACGATTCATTCTTGTCTTTGGCATATCGTGTGGTGGAAATCGAACCTCTGGAAAATGCAGATGTTGATTCCCTTTTGGTCTCGAAAGCTGTTAAATCTGCAAAATCATCCTTCAAACGTCCTTCTACTTCACTGTCTGGGAGAGAGACTGGTACAAGGAAAAACATTCAAGTATTGGAAGCTATTGAAGACACTAGTCCGACACCCAGCATGCTTTCTCCACAAGACTACATTGGCCGTGGTGGTGTTTCGTTATTTTCATCAAGAAATGATACGTATCTGTCCCCACGGGTGGGCATTGCTGTTGCAATTCGAAATTCTGAAAATTTCAGTCCAGGGTTGTCTCTTCTTGAGCTGGAGAAAAAGGTGATATAGCGTCGTTATCATTTATTCTTCGTGATGATCGAGAATTTCATTTTTGTAAGTGGCTTGTACTTTACAAATTTTGGAGCTAATGAAAATTGACCTTTCTTCCAGCAAAGAGTTGATGTGAAGGCATTTGCTTCTGATGGAACTTACTATAAGCTTTCAGCTGTGTTGCGCATGACTTCAGACAGAACAAAGGTAAAATTAATCAAAATTTTATGATCATGATTCACCCCTACTATCAAAATATTCTCTTTTGTGGGTCTTGTTGCTGGATTGAGGTATGCAATCATGCACCTAACACCATGAACTTCTTTACTAACTTAGATTATAAAACTCATAGGTCCATGTTTCTAAAAATTTGATCAAGGCTGTAGTTTTAGAATTTATGGCACTTCCAGATGCAAAGTTTTTTGTCCAACTGTTTGTAAAGGTTAGATTAACAGCAAGGTTTGGTGACTGAAGTGTGAGTGTACATGGTTGCTAGTAGCAAGTCTAGAAAGCAGCATTTGAGACTTGTAATTTGGGTCATGAGCTCATGGGAACCAGATTGCTTTTCTGGAATTAGTGTCTTCGTGGGATGCAAATAACCATACTAGGAACATGGGTGAGTTCCAGATGAATATGAGAGAACAAAGTGATGGAGAAGTCAAACAATTGTCATTTATTAACTCCAGTAAACTGGATAAGGTTCCTCAGAAACTAATTATTAATATACTTCCACACCATATGGGGGAAATTTCCTCATAGTTATATCTGTTGGTTCACTTTCAAAGTAATAAAGTCCATCAACTTTGTTAGCACTTCCAATCACCTTCTGCGTGCATATATCCTGAAATACAAATTGAGAAAGAATTTAGCAATGCAGCTAAGATCTTTGAGAGCAGCATACAGGAAAGATTTGGAACATGCGAAACGGAATGAAGAGAAATAGGTTTGGAAATGGGAATACAACCTTTGCGCGCTACAATAGATAATGAAGCATGAGCTATTTTTACCTTATGTCTACCCAACAGAATATTGGAAGAAAAATTTTGATTTCCTGCCTTTCTTGTTATGAGAAATGTGTAGGTACAAGATATTTTATTGTGTCATGTCCATAACAGATCATTTAGTTTCTCAGTTTATTGTGATGTAAGTTTATGATTTTGAGAATCTGAGATGTTTTTCTGGTGTCTGCGTAAGATCTTACATATCACTGAATTGATAGTAGCTCTATGGATATTCAGGTTGTGCATTTTCAACCACACACGTTGTTTATTAATCGGGTTGGCCGTAGCATTTGCATACGGCAATGTGATACTCATTTGTTTGAGTGGCTTCATCCTACTGATACTCCCAAACATTTTGGATGGCAATCTGCAAAAGTAGAGTTGCTCAAGGTCTGTGTAGTCAACCACACCTCTTGTTGATAATAAAAGGTGCCTATGAACAATATTGACATGTTTTATCGTTCTTATGTGTCATTTGTTCAGTTGCGGCTTGATGGATATCAGTGGAGCGCACCATTTACAATTGGTACTGAAGGTGTAATGTGTATATGCTTGAGAAATGAGATCACAAGTGATGAAATGCATCTTAGGATTGAAGTAAGAGGTGGAACAAAGAGCTCTCGCTTTGAAGTTGTACTTCGTCCCAATTCATTTTCAAGTCCCTACAGGTATGATTCTGGTATCATGATCTTTTACATATGCTTCTGCACATTTCTTGTTTCACCTTGAAGGTTTCCTGCCTGTACCTCTACACTAGTAATGCGTGGAACTATTGATGATCCAATTTGCATCATTCTTGAATAATACAATATGAGTATATCATGCCAAACTATGAAGTTAATTGAAGATCAACTTGCATTTTAATTTTTAAATATCCCCCTGCCTGGAGTTACTGGGTTATTTGCCATTTACAGGATCGAGAATCGGTCCTTTTTTCTGCCCATACGTTTTCGGCAAGCGGATGGTTCCAGTGATTCTTGGCAGTCATTACTCCCTAATGCTGCTGCTTCCTTTTCATGGGAAGATCTTGGTAGACAGCGATATCTAGAACTCTTAGTCGATGGGAGCAACTCTAGAACATCACTAAAGTATGATATTGACGAGATATATGATCATCAGCCAATTGAGGTGGCTGGTGGACCTGGGAGAGGTTTACGAGTTACTGTCAGCAAGGAAGAGAAGGTCACTGTTGTTAAAATAAGTGACTGGATGCCATTGAACGAACCTCCTACAAATTTGTATAGAAGTCCTTCATCTTTGCGACAAATCTCTGTAAATAATGCTCAGCTTAACTCTTCAACATCCACTTCAGATTGCGAATTTCATTTTAATGTTGAAGTCGCAGAGCTTGGATTGTCCTTGGTTGATCATACACCCGAAGAGATATTGTATCTCTCACTGCAAGGCTTTCTGCTGTCATATTCGACTGGCCTTGGCTCTGGAGTCAGTAGGTAATATTCTTATTATTAGAAACTAGGCCGAGTGAATATTTTGCTTAATAAATAAATTTTCCAAATTGCCTTTGGGAATGTCAATTTCAACCATATGCTGACTTCACTGTTGACTACGTGATGAATTATATGCTTGACAATGGATACTGGATTGTGAAATGCAGGTTCAAAATAAGAATGCGTGGGATTCAGGTGGATAATCAATTACCTCTAACTCCAATGCCAGTTCTCTTCCGGCCACAAAGAGTGGGAGGGGAGACAGATTATATCTTGAAATTTTCCATGACACAACAGTCAAATGGATCATTAGATTTATGCATATATCCATATATAGGTTTGCAAGTAAGTATATGAAGTTTCAGTTCACCTGCAAAAGTTTCTTCTTTTTCAGTGCTAAGACAATTTCTTGGCAGGGACCTGAAAATACTGCCTTTTTGATTAACATCCATGAGCCTATTATTTGGCGTCTTCACGGGCTTATCCAGCAGGCCAAAATTGCAAGAATGTTTGAAACTGAAACCACTTCTGTTTCAGTTGATCCCATTATTCAAATTGGGTATGAACCGAGGCTTGAATGTTTCATGATTTTACCTTTCATTTCTGCAATTGCTTGAGTGATATCAGGTCTTAAATATTTCTCTGGATTGACAGTGTCCTTAACATCTCGGAAGTTCGGTTCAAAGTTACAATGGCAATGTCCCCTAGTCAACGGCCAGTTGGTGTACTTGGATTTTGGGCTAGCTTAATGACTGCTCTTGGGAATACTGAAAATATGACGGTAAGCATTGGTTCTTTCTTGTCTTTTTCATAATGTAATTTGTTATTTTGTTTCATCTCAAAAAGAATCACCAGCTTAAAAATCTAAAATATGTAGATATAACATAGAATGTATATTTCTTCAACGAACTCATTTAGATGTTTGGCAGAGTATCTTGGTAGACTTTATTCTCGTTCAAGTTTTACAATCTCTCTCTCTCTCTCTCTCTCTCTCTCTCTCTCCAACTTTGTGAGATGATGAAAGTCATAGCTTCACAATGTTATGCTTGTGAATGGAACATATCAACTACAGTGGTTCTGCTCCACTATTTGCAAACTAAATTGAGTAGCGTAAAACTTGGTGGTGGTCTGTCGGATAAAATTAATTTTTGCGGTTCCATATTATTTGTTATTCTGTGAATGGAATGGTAATACTTTTGATTTATTTTATCAGGTCCGGATAAACCAGAGATTTCAGGAAAACATATCAATGAGGCATAGCGTTCTAGTTGGTAATGCTGTCTCAAACATTAAGAAGGATCTCCTCAGCCAGCCACTACAACTGCTTTCGGGTGTTGATATACTAGGTAATGCAAGTAGTGCACTTGGACATATGAGCAAAGGTGTAGCTGCCTTATCAATGGATAAGAAATTCATACAAAGTCGGCAAAGACAGGTTCGACTCTTTTTCCCATTCTAGAAAGTAGCTTTCGCATTACTGAGGCAATTGGTTGTTATCCTGATTGCTTAAATCAGGCCCTCTATGTTGACTGGCTGATTGAATAAAAGCACATATATATTTAGAATAAAACACTCTTCTCCATCAGAGATAGGGCTGTCCGTGAGTCGGTTCGGTTTGATTCTGAAGAGACCCGAACCGACCCAAAACTTTCGGGTATTTAATAAATGGACCCGTCGGATCCAAATATAATTATGGAACCGTTCGGGTTCGGTTCCGTTCGGTTCGGTTCGGGTCGGTTCGGTTCCGTTCGGTTCCGTACCATAATTAAATTTTTTAATATTTTCAGCAACACTACATAAATATAATTAATAACATTTCATTCGTAACTTTTACAAATTAACGTAGCCCAATTCAAAAA